ATAGAACGTATACATTTGAGGGATGTTTCTTTGGCTTTCTGGGTCTTGGTCCTAATTAAGCATGGGCATTGAGAGAACACTTCCAACCCTCACAACCAGATGACTGTGTGGAGGGCAATGACATTTTCTGAATTTTGGAGACCTAGGGGCAGAAGTAGGGTGGGAGTGGGGAGAGGGAAATGAGTTCTAGGGTTGTATATTATCTGTATGGGTCATCTAAATGAAGATGACCAGGAGGCAGGTAGAAATATATATATCTGGAACTCAGGAAAGAAAGAGCATGACTAGAACTATAGCTTCTGGAGCAATTCTCCTAGAAAGGCTAGTGCCCAATTGAAAAGAACTATTTATCTCGAGTTTTGTGAATAGTAATAAAATGTGAACAACTTGGAAAGAAATATAATCACTGCAACTCTAAAAGAATTTGTTGATGTTGACACTGGGTTCTGCTCACTGCACTGTGTGTGTAAGTGTATGTGTTCATTTTCGTTTTCCCTAATGAATTTTAGATTGATAAGAAACAAAAACTTCAATCCTAAAGAAGAATGTTTTGTAATATCATATAGACTAGCATCTCCAACTCTGTTTTAGAATTTATTACAATAAAAAAAGAGTAAGCTAAATATTTTGCTTTTCTCCTAGTTTCTAAAATTTCATGTTTTGATGCCAATATAACATTATCAAATGTTATATAAGAATACTGAAAAAAAAAATGACAGTTTGTTAGGTTCTTTGATATACCATGTAGCTCTTGAATTCACTAGAATTAAATGAATAAACTATACTATGATTAATATAAGTCTTATGGTATTAGTCAAAAATTGGCTCAAGTTGAAACTTTCAGTATTATTAATTTTCACTTTCAGTATTATATATTTCTCCAGTCAGTGGTTTGGAACCTTTGTCACAAGGCTGAGAAAACATAGGGTAAAACTAATTCATCTAAAATAGCAGTTCAATAATTTATGCGGAAATTAGATACATTTAATTTAGGTTATATGAGGTCTTGGACCAGTGTGTTTCTATTATTACAAGAAAAGTTAGAACATAGTATCATACAGCTATCAAGTCACATCAGCAAAGGATCATCTCATATTGAGTCTTACCTTGGTCAGTTGGAAAAATGAGCATTTTAAACATAGTTTTGCATTTTCAGGGATGCAAAATACTAAATATAGAAGGAAGGCCGATGGTCAATGCTAAATAACATTTCTGCATTTCATTTAACGTGCAGTCCAATTGACCTTCATTAGGCCACGCTCCCTCTGAAATCGCAATAGTTTTGATGCTAATTGGGTGGGGGTATTAGTTATGGAATGAGGATAGTGGCTTGCATACTGTTTCTTCAGCTCAATAATATCTCTGGAGCTTTCTTCTTTTTTCAACTTTATTTTTATTGTTGACACTGTTAAACTGTCCCCATGCTCCCTCTCCGCCCCATTGCCTACTTCCAGCCAGCCCCTGTATCTGCTTCCCTCTGGTCATCACCACACTGCTGTCTGTGTCTGTGGGCTATGTGTAGGTATTCTTTGGCTAATCTGCTCACCTTCTTTCATCCAGGTCCCTCTGACAGCTGTCAATGTGTTCCATGGATCCATGCCTCTGTTTCTATTTTGTTTGTGAGTTTATTTTGTTCATTGGATTCCGCATATAAGTGAGATCATATGGTATTTGTCTTTCTCTGACTGGCTTATTTCACT